TGGGCCTCCAGGGTCTTCCGGGTGTTCGCCCGGTAACGCCGCGCAGGTGCCTCGTGCGCCTGCTAGCATTGTCGGCCTGTCGTTTGGTGGCAGCCCGTGGGCGCCCCGCGGACACACCGCGCAGGGTTGCATTCAGCAGGTTGCACCACGCAGCCCGATGTAGCTGGCACCGCATGGCTCACGCCCCACAGCTTCCGCCACACAGCTGGCACCCCATGGATTGCACCGCACGCGCTGCACCCCTTGGCCTGCACCCCTTAGCCTGCATCGCATAGCTTGCCCCGCTCTGGAACTTCGGGAGGCTCCCTCGCGGCCACGGCTGGAAGCAGCTGGGAGAATTGTTTACGCTTCGCGAATCCCCACCAGCCCATCCTAAAGCAGCCAGTCTAGGGAAGAGTACCGTCTATCCAGAGACGATGCCCAGAGGATTTGCCTCGATCAGGGAAGTGGGCAGCACCTACAGGAAGGGTCCCTTTTGGAGCGCTCTTGGGGCACTCTTGGGCGCTCTTGGGGCCGTCTTGGGGCTCTCCTGGGCCTCTCTTGCGTCTTGGGGGCCTCTTGGGGCCTCTTCGGGGTCTCTTGGGAGCCTCTTGGAGGCCTCTTGGGCGCCTCTTGTGCATTTGCTGGTAATCATGTTTGTTACAAGCCTCCGTGGAACCCAATTTGGAATTTGCAGAGCTTCCCAGCACACTTGCAGAGCTTCCCAGCACACGTACAGCTGGCAAGCGAATGTACCTTTCACCGCCTCTTGCCTTTGGCACCGCCGCTTCACTTCCCGCATGGATTGCGAGGAGGAGAAGGAGGAACAGCTTCAGCAGTAGCAGGAGAAAGAAGGAGCGGTCTAAGAGAAAGGGATGGAGACAGATGGGCCATACAAATTATGCTGGCGAAAGATCCGACAAGGCAGTTGTGCGTACCGTCGTTGTGGGCCGCGAAGCGTGTGAGGTGTGCCGAAATGGGGCGAGGCCGTGATGCGGGCGTTGCCACTGGGGCTGAGGTAGAGCCCCCTATGGGGCCAGAACTTGTGAGGGGTGTGCCGAAAGGGGGCGGCACCGCCATTCGAACGTCGCCACCAGAGCCTCGGGAGGAGCTCCCTATTGTGGCCACGAAACGCTTGAAGGGTTTGCAAAAACGAGCGTGATGCCCAGATGCGAACGTTCCACTGGGGCCTTTGGTCGAGCCCCCTATGGGGCCACGAAACGCGCGAGGGGAGTGCCGAGGAGGACGTGACTCCCACACGCGAAAGCCGCCATTTGGGCCATGAGAGGAACTCCCAATGAAGCCACGAAGCGCGTGAGGAGTGTGCCGAAATGGGTGGGGCCGCCACATGCCAACATGGCCGTTGGTGCCTTATGTGGAGATCCCTATGGGGCCACGACACGCGTGATGGGTGTGTGCCGAAAATGGTGGGGCGGCCGCATGTGGACACCGCCTCTGACACCGCAATTGGGGCCCTAAGTGGAACGCCCGATGGGGCCATGAAACGTCTGAGTGTTGTGCCGAACGGGGTGGGGCGGCCACATGCGAACATGGCCCTCAGGTGGAGCTCCCTGTGGAGCCGTGAAACGTGTGAGGTGTGTGCCGGCATCGGTGGGTTGGCCACACGCGAGCATGGCCGCTTCGGCCTTAGGTGGAGCTCTATACAGCGCTAGGAAACGCATGAGGGGTGTGCCGAAATGGGTGGGGCGGCCACATGCGAACATAGCCAATGGGGCGTTGGGTGTCGCCCCCCATGGCGCCACGAAATGTGTGAGGGGCGTGCCGAAAATGGTGGGGCAGCCGCATGTGGACACCGCCACTGGCGTCCTCGGTGGGGCTCCACATGGGGCCACGGAACATGTGAGGGGTGTGCCGAAATGGGCGGGGCGGCCACATGCGAACATGGTCTCTTGGCCTTCAGTGGAGCTCCTTGTGGGGCCATGAAACGTATGAGGGGTGTGCCAAATGGGGTGGGGCGGCCACATGCGAACATGACCACTGGGGCCTAAGGTGGAGCTCCCCATGGAGCCGTGAATCGTGTGAAGGGTGTGCCGGAACATGGGCATGCGGAGGGAAGGGGCAAGGATGGGAGGAGGGGAGGAGGAGTAGGAGGAGGAGGAGGAGGAGGAGGAGGAGGAGGAGGAGGGGGATGAGGAGTGTATGCACGCGGGGCGCTGTCTTTTCAAAATGAGGGTCCGACACCACAAGATGGTTGGGACATTCGTTTGGCCTGGGACCCAACACCATATTATGCAGTTGCGAGTACCGTCCGTCGTTGTAAGTGTCGCCTTCGGTGGATCTCCTCATGGGGTCACGAAACGTGCGAGAGGTGTGCGGAAGTGGGGCGGGGCGGCCGCATGTGGGCATTGCCACTGGGGCCTGAGGTAGAGCCCCCTATGGTGCCACCAAACTTGTGAGGGGTGTGCCGAAACGGGGCGGGGCAGCCACGTGGACGTTGTCACTGGGGCCTTCGGTGGAACTCGTTATGGGGCTTCGAACCCCATGAGGAGTATGCCGAAATGGGTTGGGCGGCCGCATGTGGGCACCACCACTGGGGCCGTTGGTGGAGTCCCCGATGGGGCCACGAAACTTGTGAGGGGTGTGCTGGGATGGGTGGGGCGGCCACAAGCGAACATGGACATCGGTGCCTTCGGAGGAGCTCCTCATGGGGCCATGAAGCGTAAGAGGCGTGTGCCGAACTCTGTGGGCGGCCACACACGAACATAACCACTGAGGCCGTTGGTGGAGCTCGCGAAAGGGCCACGAAGCACGTGAGGTTGTGCCGAAATGGGTGGGGCGGCCACATGCGAAAATGGCCACTGGGGCCTTCGGTGGAGCTCCCTGTGGGACCACGAAGCGCATGAGATGTGCGCCGACATGTGTGGGGCGGCCACGTGCGAACATTGCAACTGAGGCCTTCGGTGAAGCTCCTTGTAAGACCATGGAACGTGTGAGGGGTGTGCCGACCTTTGTGTGAGGCGGTCACATGCGAACATGGCCATTGGGACCTGGGGTGGAGCCCCCTTTGGAGCCACGAAAACCGTGAGGAGTGTGCCGAAATGAGTGGATCGGCCATGTGCGAACTGGGGCCTTCGGTGGAGCTCTCTATGGGGCCGCGAAACGCGTGAGGGGTGTGCCGAAATTCGCGGGCGGCTATCTGCGAACATGGCCACTGGGGCCTTTGGTGGAGCTCCCTGTGGGACCACGAAACGCCTGAGAGGTGTGCCGAAATGAGCTTGGCGGCCACATGTGAACATTGCCTTTGGGGGCCACCGAGCACGTGCGGGGTGTGTCGACATGTATGGGGCGGCCACATTTGGACACCGCCATTGGGGCCTTCGGTGGAGCCCTCTTATGGGGCCACGAAGCGCATGGTGTGTGTGTGTGTGTGTGTGTCGAAATGGGCGGGGCGGCCACATGAGAGCATGGCTATTGGGGCCTTCGGTGGAGCTCCCTACACAACCATGGAACGTGTGACGGATGTGCCGAAATGGGCGGGGCGTCCACATGCGAACATTGCCACTGGGGCCTTTAGTCAAGGCTCTGTGGAGACGAGAAGCGGTGGGGGGTGTGCCGAAACGGGCGGCGCGGCCACATGCGAACATTGCCACTCGGGCCGATTGGTGGAGCTCCATATGGGACCACGAAACGCGTGAGGGGTGTGCCGAAATGGGTGGGCGGCCACATGCGAACATGGCCACAAGGGCCTTGGGTGGAGCTCTCCATGGGGATGAAACGTGTGAGGGTGGTACCGATCTTGTGGAGCGCCCGATGGGGCCACGAAACGCATAAGGGGTGTGCCGAAACGGGTGTGGCGGCCAATTGCGAACATGGCCATTGGGGCCTTTTTTGGTGTAGCTTCTGGTGGAAACATGGAATATGCGCGGGGTGCTCTAAAATGTCTGGGGTGGCAACATGAGAACATTGCCACTTGGGCCTTTCGGTGGATCTCCATGTGAGGACACGAAGCGCGTGAGTGTTGTGCCGACATTGGTGGGGTGGCCGCATTCGAACACTGGCACTGCGGCCTTTGGCTGAGCTCCCTATGGGTCCACGAAGCGCGTGAGGGGTGAGCCGAAATGAGCGGCGCGGTCATCTGTGAACATGGCCTCTGGGGCCTTTGGTGGAGCTCCGTTTGGGTGCACGAAGCGCGTGAGGGGTGTGCCGAAATGGGCGGCGCGTCCACATGCGAACATGGCCACTGGGGACTTCGGTGGAGCTCCCTGCGGGGCGGTGAATCGCGTGAGGGGTGTGCCAGCATGGGTCTGGCGGCAGCTATGAAAATGGCCATTGGGGCCTCTGGTAGAGTTCCCTATAGGGCCACGAAACGTGTGAGGGGTGTGCCGGACTGGTTCATATGTGGAGGGGCAGGGATGATGAGAGGAGGGAGGAGGAGGCGGAGGAGGACGAGGATTGTGACGCGCGCCGCCGACTCTTCAAAACGAGGGCCCAGCACCACAGGACGGTTGGGAAAAGCAGGAGGACGGGGGACGTGACGGGAAGAGGCACGGCCGAGGAGAGGAGGCAGACGAGGGGGCGGCAGGTGGAGGCCGTCCTCGGCCCCGCACCCTTTGTGTGGCCCACGGGGGGTGCACGGTGGAGTCTGCTCGGCAAGCTCCTGGGATGGTGGGGTGCAGAGAGAGGCACTGAACAGGTCGGAGGGAGGAGGAGGAAGAGTGGGGCAGAGGAAGGGGTGCGAGGAGGAGCAGGATGGGAAGAGGGGCAGGAGGAACAGGGAGGGATCGGAGGAGAGGAGACGGGACGGACGAGGAGGAAGAGGAGGAGGGAGCATATTTAGGACGAGGAGGATGGAAGAGGCTGCGAGGGCGCATTATTTCGTTCCTGCCTTCTGTGCCGTTCTTGCTATTCCCTCCTCGCTGCCTTGCTGCTTGAGCACGCGCGATTCGTCTGTTCCAGTAGGGTCACTTAGGTGTCGGCCCGTTCGCATCTTGGATGCGGTGGGCGCGCGCGCGCTTGCTCGCCAGGCCCGGCTCGCCCGCGCCACGCGCCTCCGCGCGCAGGCCGCGTGGGCGAACAAGGCCAACGGCGGGGGCTTCGAGGACTACGAGGGCTGCCGGCTCGAGTGCCGCGCCTGGGCGGGAGCTCGCAGCAACGGGGGGGGCGACGGTGGCGGGGGCGACTGGGGATGGGGAGGGGGGGGGCGCACTCACTTCGAGTGCTGCCTCCTGCCTGCTGCTGCCTTCGCTGCTGGCCTGGGCCGGCGCCGCCTGCTCTCGCTCGTCGCTCGCTCGTCTGGCGCCCCTGGGTGCGCCCCGCCGCGCCCGCGGCGGTCGGGCGCTTCGGCGGGCGGAGGTACGCTCGCGGAGCGCGAAACGCAGATGCAGGGGGGAGGCAGTCGGTTGAGCGGAGGGCAGGCTCGGGTGAGCTGACTCGAAGGCATTGTGTAGGCACGGCTGAAGCCGAAGCCGAAGCTGAGGTGCACAGAGGGATGGAAATGGCCCACACTGCAGGTTTGTCTGGCAGCGCATCGTTGAGCGGTGCTGCCGCGTCTCCACGGACACAGGCCCCACCCCGAGCATCGGCCAGACAAGTCGGGTTTGCACTCTCATGCCTTGGTGGACTCTGGGCGCCTTTGGCACTGCCATTGCAGCCGCCACTCTCTCGTCAGAGCCACCGACTTGGCGACAGCGACAGCGACAGTGGCGGTGGCCGATGCGTCCGATGCCTGGCGGCGGCGGGGGAGGAGGACGGATGACGGAGGATGGAGGATGGAGGATGCAGGAGAAGGAGGAGGAGGAGGAGGAGGAGGAGGAGGAGGAGGATAGATAATGGAGGAGCAGGGCGAGATGGAGGATATGGGGAGGCAGGACGAGAAGGACCAGGAAAAGGGGGGCAGGGCGTAGTGGGAGGGCGGGACCGAGGAGGAGGAGGAGGAGGAGGAGGAGGAGGAGGAGGAGGAGGAGGAGGAGGGAGGAAGAGGAGGAGTGGACGAGAAGGAGAAGCAGGGCGAGGATAAGGAGGAGGATGAAGGAGGGGCTAGAAAACAGGACACACGAGAAAAAGCAGCTCACAAGGGCCTGAGGGGCCGAATTCTTGGATGTCGAGGGGCAAAAAGATGAGGGTGGAACACATATTTTCCTGGCGACGGACCCAACCACATGTAGTTGCGAGTGCCGTCGTTGAGTGTCGCCTTCGGTGGAGCTTTGTGTGGGGCCACGACGAGTATGAGGGGTGTGCCGAAAAATGGGTGGGACGACGTGCGGAGAGCCGACCCCTCGTGTTAGCCGTGGCGTGGCGCCGCGGGTTTGGAGACGTCTTGGCCTTCGCAGTGGACGACCTGAGTTTCACCTTGTCTGGTGCCGGGATCGATGGACTCCTGGCCATGGCCGGATGCAGGGACTTCGTGGCGGCTGAGCTGCCCTGATACGCCCCATTTGGTACGCAGCACGTACCGTGTTGAAGCCGTCCGTGTTCTCACGTCGCGTGTAGGCTCGGCACGTGTTGGCCCAAGTTTTGGCAAGTGTATCGCGCCAAACATACGCTTTCAATGTACGTATTGAGTTCCGTGTCAGCACTCTACGCGTTGCGTGTTGCGTAGCGGGACGTCTAAGCTTGGCGCTGACAGGGCTCACTTGTTGCCCTCAAATGGCGCCCCACCGCGCATCGATCACATTGCCACTGCAGGCGCTGTCCAGGCGGCCTGACTGCGATAAGACCTCGGACTGGCCACGCACGCGGCCCTCGTGGTAGAGATGCACGTGCCGTGGCCCGAGCCGGCGCTGCTTTGCCAGGGGTGCCCACCCTGGATGGCCCTGCGCCGGAGCGGTGGTCAGCGCAGGAGCGCGCGGGACGCTACGGCCCTGGCGCGGACGCACCACGGAGTTGCCTTCCGCGCAGCGTGGGAACACCACGACCTCCACGAGGCGTGGCGGCAGCTGGAGGCGGCCATGCGCACGTGGCTGTCGGTGCGCCTCCTCCTCCTCCTCCTCCTCCTCCGCCTCCTCCTTCTCCTCCTCCCTCTTCCCTCCTCCTCCTCCTCCTCCTCCTCCTCCTCCTCCTCCTCCTCCTCCTCCTCCCTCCTCCTCCTCCTCCTCCTCCTCCTCCTCCTCCTCCTCCTCCTCCTCCTCCCTCCTCCTTGGGCAGCACCCAGAGCGGCCGCACGCTGCAGCCGCCATGCGAGTCGAACGGCCTCCCGCAGCGGGAGGCGGCGGGGAAGCTGCAGTTGCCGCTGCGGACACCGCCCTGTTGCGCGTCTGGCGTCTCAGGAGCTTACAGCACGCTCAGCGGCGCACCACGGGCACCGCGAGGCGAATGGCGGTTGCGACGTTGCGGGCGTTGCGCGCCGCCAACGCCGCGGACGCGGACTGGTGCCTGGCGCTGGCCGCTTTGCACGGCGCGGGCTGCTGCGCGCGAGAGGCGGCAACCGGAGTGGCGTCGCTGGGTGGAGGCAGACTTGTTTGCGGAGGCGTAGGCCCAGGGATGCGTGGCCCTGCGAGCTCGTGGAGCCCTGGGGCCTCCTGCTGCCGCAGCCTGGTGGCGGCGAGGGCCCCTTGGAAGGTAGGCCCATTTGGTCGTTGCCCGTCTTGTGCAGGCTCTGGGCTGCTTGCCCGGCGCGCCTCTTTGCCCCGTGGCGGTGCAAGTGGGAGGGCGACGAGTGGCGGCGGTGCGCAGAGAACCCCGCTTGGGAGCTCGAGTCGAAGGCGGCCGACGCCCTCTCGGAGGAGATCGTGGGCTCTGCTCTGGATTGGCGCCAGGCGTACGACCAGGGGGACTTGAGCACGGTGCCTGCCGCGCTCGCCCAGGCAGGGGTGCCGCCCTGGGTTGCGAGGCTGGCGTTGGCGGCCTCTTCGGCGAGCCGCCGAGCGCGGATTGGCAAGCCGTCGGCTCCTCTTGGTCGCCGGAGCGCAGCCTTCTGCCAGGCTGCCCCCTGGCCGTGGTCGTGCTGGGGGTCCTGGCACGGCCGGCTGCGCTACGAGATGGCCTTCGAGCAGGACAAACACCTCCACCTGCAGAAGATCGGCCACAAGAGCTACAACGCCGAGATCATCTAGAGGGTGACCAAGCGACCGCCTCCGCCGCAGGGCTTGCGTCGATGACTTCACCCTTGGCCTGGGTCGCTGCCACGGCCAGCAGCGACGTGGCAGACGAGCTCCGACAGGCGCTGCAGGTCACGGAGGCGCGCGAGGCGGCCATGGATTGGGAGTTGAGCGCGACGAAGTCCCGCCAGTTTGCCAGTCGCGCGGAAATCCAGAGTTGGCTAGGGGAACGGACTCTTGGGATCTCCACGAGCACGGGGTTCAGTGACCTCGTGGTGGCCGCTACGGCTGGCAAGGCCCATCGGTGCGCTGTCACCGCGCACGGGCTGCGCGTGACACGGGGTCGTTTTGGCTGTTTCGGCAGGCGGCTGGGCAACCTGCCAGTCGGCTTTGACACGCGTTGCGGGCCAGTCGCTGCCGCCGGCGCGGCCGCTGGCTTGCGCGTCGCGGCATGCGGGCGGCCGCTGGCGCGGGAATTGGCCGGTCCCCGCACTGCCGCGCGCCAAGAGGTCCGTTGCGGTGGCACGCGGGCGGCCGCAGAGTTCGCGTTCGGCGTGCTGGCGACGAGAATTTATGCGCCTGAGCTGCTCGGCTCCGCCTTTGCCGCGGCGCCCGCTACAGAAATCACGGAGCCCCCGAATGAGCTCCCCCTCGGAGTTGACAGCCCCGCAGCACGTGCAGAAGAGGATGAACCTAATTCGGCAACGCACAGCATCAACGTCGGCCTGTAGGAGAGAGTGCTTCCGCCACCAAGAGGACAGGCGCGAGAACTCCTCCCACCCAGGCCGCCCAGGCCAGACCCCCCCCCCCCGACTCCGCCCCCCTTCCTCGTCGGCATTCCCAGGGGACCCCTGGTCGGGGCCAGCCGCACTTCCTGGAGGGGCGCCGTCCGGAAAAGCAGAGCGGCCCGCCAGACAGCTCGTGGTCCTGGCCTGCACTGAGCACGTGAGCCTCCGTGGCCCACACGGCCACTTCACGCGCATAGGCCTGCAGCCATTTCCAGAGCTCAGAACAAGTTGAATCAACGCCGTGCAGGGTGGCGCATCGCTTCGCCAACGCATTAGCTGGCTTGGTGGCTGCGTAGTCCCACTCCGCGGTCAGACCTGCATCCCTGTCGGCCCTGTGAGCAGGCCTTGGCTGTGAACACGATGTCCCCGCTGCGGAGACTGGCCGAGATTGGCACCAAACATGCGCACGAGCATCGTACTATACTTATTATTCATTGTTTTGCCGATCGGCTCGGACCATCGCACCCCCTCCCACCCTCCCGTAGAATAGATCTTGGTTGCTTTTGGCGCCTGTTTCAAACAGGTGGAGTCTTCCCCGTAGGACGCACGGCTGCAAACAGTCGCATTCAGCAGAGGTCCAGAGCCAGACCCCCCCCTTCCGCCCAATGTCGAAACGCCGAATAAGAAAACGGTCACATTGTTACCACCAGCCCCCGCCTTTTGCCCTTCCCAGACCGTGCCGACGGTGCCAGCACAGTCCGAGTACGCATCGAAACGGGGGAGGGGGCAACTTGCGTCAGCACATTGAGGGCGGAGGCCTTCCCGCCACGGGAAGTCCGACGACGGGCGACAGCAAGCGGGACGATGCTGAAGTCGGGCATTTCTTCTACAGGAAGAATATTCAAGAATGGAAAAATTGTTTGGTGACGATTTTCGTGCCCGTTTGACTATTTCTTGTTGGTTTGACTCGTTGTTGCGTTTCTTTCAACAACCGCCTGTGGGAGAACATGCCCAACCTAGGACGAGGTCGTGAGTTGCAGCCGGCATGTTGCCGAATCTATTTGCACAACATACCAGCCCGCACAGGGCAAGTGCGGGCAGTCAGCCCGCAGGGCCGACCCGTTCGTAAAGTAAAGAGCAAACCTGTGAAGCCTTAGCCCAGGTCTGTTCACCAAGTAGATCCGCTGCTCGGGCTCTGCAGGGACCTCCAGTAGCTTTGTGGGTTTCAGGAAGATGCTACGGGCGAAGCGCTCGCTAACCTCCGATCCCCCATTCTTTGGCAAGCTCAGCCAGAACAGCATGGAAGTCCACCACCTCTCCGCAGGCTTGTCAGAGCAATGCCAGACGGAATCGTGAAG